CTTTTCTTAAATAAAGTATTAGTAATAACAAAATCATACGCTAAAGTAAAATCTAAAATAGCTCTACCTTCTTCATTAATTCCTCCAAAATCGTAGCCACCATGATTTTTTCTGAAATCTTCTATCACTCTACTGACATGTTCATTTAAATCTCCTCCCATAAAGATTTTTTTCTCGAGAGGCATCATTTGTATTAAGTTTTCTAAGTCATTTCAGAATTTATCTTTAGACCTTATATCCAAACTTGCGTAGCATAAACACTTTTAATATTAAAAATCTTAGTATCAATAATAATCTAAGGGCTATAATTTTATCTCCAACTATTAATTTTTACAACATTATCTTTCAAACTCTTATCTATAATTACATCTACACCATTTCTAGTGCTGACTCCTACCAGAATACCAAAGTTTAAAACCTAAGTTATTAATCTCCTTAGCTTTTTTTTTCAACCCATTTAGTTATTTGAATACATAAGATATTAATCTTTTTATGAATCATAATATCAACTAATTTCATTAATTTATCATTGGGAGTACTTATATTCAAAGATCATATCTTAATATTAATTTCATTAGTTTCATGGACTGATTTATTTTCTCGCATCTGTCCGTAATGTGAAAACCATTGCTTATTTGACACTACATACAGTCGCCGGTGTAGCAGTCGTTGCATACTTTTCACTGTATTCAGGCTATACAACGCGTCGCTTACAGGGAACACCCTAGCACTTACACGATGATAAAATGATTCATGTCATGAGTTGCTCGAATATTCCTTACAAAGAGAAAATTAGGTGCGTCATTTGTATTGAATAATTTGCTCAAATAGATCTGACCTAACAAAGAAGTAATTAATTATATTACTAAAAGTATAATATTCGCAACTAAGCTAAATAATTTTTTAAATTCCTAACTGTAGTTTATAGGTGTACATTATACGGTAATTAATGCATGTTTATCCTCATGCTTATGAGAAAAGTTTACTTATGTTAGGCGTGCGCAACGCTGCGTACAACAGGGATGTTACTCAGAGGGTATTGGGGGATTATATCCGCGTTATCTTTCTGTAACCTCCCTTTAACCTACTGTAACTTACAAATATATGAAAACAGAAGCGCGAAACCTACTAGATGGTACAGGTAGGTTACAGATAGGTTACAGGGAGGTTACAGGGGGTATAACGCGGATATAACCCTCCAATACTCTTTGAATAACTTCCCTGATTCTCCAAAGATGGTTGCGCTCTAACTATACTCTACTGCAAAAAATGAGAATAAAGTATAAACTATACCTGAACAAAAGAAACCCAAAGCAAACCCCGATAGACAATAGTACTGTGAACATATCCTCAACAAAATTGTGACAATAAAAACGAAAGTAGTCCTTGAAACTTGATTTTATTTCCCGTTAACATCACCATTCGTGAAATTTGAAGAATAACATATGAGGCCCACTGCATTATGCTCAAAACGCAACAAGGTGTCAAATTGAGCTACTTGTATTTTTATCTTGTGACTTTTTCCTTTTTTTTTTTTTTTTTGTCTTTTTATTCAGCCGTGCTAAGCTGTACCTAGGACTTGTAGCATTTCTCAGACCGGGGTGGCATATATTGATATTAAGAAGAACGTGTTGCTTTAAAATTAGAAACGAATTGTCCATTTCTAGGTTCTTATATATAACAGTCCTAGATTGGGTTTTAATGGTTTTGTAAACCAGATGAATTGGTGAAGTCCATTCTGAACTTCACGCTACGGTTATTTTCTGCACTTTTTCTTGCTTTTATTGCTATTAGGTCCTGCTATAAGGTAAATAATTTTCATTAAACCTCTGCTGATTTAACTGCTGTATTGCGAAGTATAATTGTTTATGGTCGATATAATGAGAGATTTGTGCTGCTCTATCTGTGCCTTTTTCAACATAGATAGCGGAGGCAATTGAACGTGAAAAGGAGGTTACAAAGGAAGTGGAAATTCACAATGTTGATCGAGCTGTTTGTGGACGCATAGCTGGTGTGATTGCCAAAAAATATGGAGATACAGGCTTTGCAGGACAGCTAAATTTTGTGTATGTCTTTGCTATATTGTAACAAAATTTTTTAAAGGCCTTTAATGATCAGACAATTATCATAATAATCTGATCATGACAAATTGAGTTTTTCTGTCTGCAGTTTCAAAGGAAGTGCTGGACAGTCCTTTGCCTGCTTCCTGACTCCTGGAATGAATGTACGACTGGTGGGGGAGGCTAATGATTATGTTGGAAAGGTGCCATGTCAAACTTACTTTTTTTTATTATTGGAGCATTTACATATGTACCACGCAATTTTTATGTATTTATATATCTAACAGCTAAACTCTAACTATTGCATTTATACCACAGTATCCAAATCATTCATATCATATACAAAATATCACTATTTTAACTTCTAAAAGAAGTGAGATACACATTGTTATGCAATAGGGAAGGTGACTTGTATGTAAAAGTTTGTGTTAGATATGCAAATACAAAGAATTGAGTGGTATTTATGTAAATCTTTCTTTTTTATTTTATACCTCAAACTTTCTTGCTCTTATCAAATGTTAAAACTTAACAAGTTGTATATTTGCAGGGTATGGCTGGTGGAGAGCTTGTTATTACTCCTGTCGAGAACACTGGCTTCTCTCCAGAGGATGCTACCATTGTGGGAAACACCTGTCTGTATGGTGCAACAGGAGGTCAAGTGTTTGTTAGAGGAAAAGCAGGCGAACGTTTTGCTGTGAGAAACTCTCTTGCGGAAGCTGTTGTTGAAGGCACTGGAGATCATTGTTGCGAATACATGACTGGTGGCTGTGTTGTTGTTTTAGGAAAGTATGTATTTATTATTTTATTCTCTGTTTGTGGCCTTCTTTTTATTTATTTTGCTATTAAATTGTTTTTGTTTTTTTTTTTTTTTGAATTTCTGTAGAGTGGGCAGGAATGTAGCTGCTGGCATGACTGGTGGTCTTGCTTATATTCTTGATGAGGACGACACACTAATTCCGAAGGTATCTTTCAATCCTCTCTCTTTCACTTTTTCCAAAGTTATCCTCTCTCTCTCTCTCTCTCTCTCTCTCTCTCTCTCTCTGTGTGTGTGTGTGTGCTATTGTCTGTGCCTTAGAAGATTGAAGATTTTACATTCCAATTTCAACTCAAATGAACAGAGGACAATAAAGCAATTTCATTTGAAAATCAAGGACATCTTAATAGATTCAGAGAATATCTTTTATCATATAATTTCCTCTTGATTAGGTAATTTCATCTGTCTTGAATCATGAAATTTTTCTTCCAATTACAAATAGTTGCAGATGGGGGCATTGTTGCAAATATGGAGACCGGTTTACTGTTCAAATTGACAGTTTCTCATGTTTGACAACAAATTTGATTTGATACTCGAAATTAATTGTAAAATTAATTGCTCTTAATTCCTTCCCTATATTTTCTACAGCTTTCCTGGTATGAATCCCGCCATCTATGATATGTTGGAGAAGAGAAAATGAAATAATTAATAGGTTTCATTAATTATTTGATTAATTCTTTAATGGGCCTAATAGCATGATTAAATTAATAATATTACAGCTCCTCTTGGAATCTCATTCGGGCTTAGTTTTTTCATTTCTTATTTTTCGGTGTGGACTCTGGTAGAGAGAGGAATGAGAAGAGAGAGAAAGAAAGTGTAAGCTTTTCTTGTAATCGTCGAGGTGATCGACAGGTGTGATCCTCAAAGCTAATAAAATCTTCTGCAACTCCGTAAACGTAGGCAACTTGCCGAACCATGTAATTCTGTGTTTCCGCTGTGCTTTTCTGTTTATATATATGTAATTTCTATGAATTATTATTCAATATACACCTGCAACATCCTTCTTCCCTCACCGGGCATACTTTTATTCTTATTATATTTCTGATTTAACAGGTAAACAAGGAGATTGTAAAGATCCAGAGAATAAATGCTCCAGCTGGTCAGATGCAGCTTAAAAGCCTTATAGAAGCTCATGTTGTAAGAAATCCCAACCCCTTAATGTTCTACGCCAGCACATGATTGAACAGCACCTCTTAACTCCCCCATTCCCCCCTTTTCTTAAAAGGAAAAAACTGGGAGCAAGAAAGGTGCGGCAATTCTGAGCGAATGGGAAGCCTACCTGCCCTTATTCTGGCAACTAGTGCCACCTAGCGAGGAAGATGCGCCAGAGGCTTGTGCAGAGTTTGAGAGGGTGAAGGCTGCCGGACGTGTTCCTGTTCAGTCTGGTTAGAATTCAAAATGAAGATGAATGAGGCTGAATTCTTGATCAGAATCATGGATCAACCAGGGTAAATAGTCTTGTGAAGAAATAATGCCAAAAAAGTTTCGTGCAGAATCACCATAGATAGTTAAAATCGTTGTATAAATTTAGTTTATTGGGTGTTTTGGTGTTATATTTTCCTTTTTTATTTTATTGTCTTGTGCATTTTTGTATAGTTGTCATTTTCATTAAATTTCCCGTATAGATGTCTAGAACTTCCTAACCTATTGCAAATATGTAGTCTTTTTTTTTTTTTTTTTTTTTTTTTTCAATCAGTTCTGGCAGCTTCCTACAAATTTTTAAGTAGTAGAAAGAAGTAATCAAGTATGTATAAATGAAAACTATATATATATATATACTTCGTAAGTTCTCGTGCCCTAGGTAATATTGAGGAATGATTTTGGCACGGATGGGTTGAAGTGTATAATATGAATTTTTTTATTAAACTATTTTAAAATTTATTGTTTTAAAAATTATGATAAATAAAGTTTTTATGAAGGAAATTGAATAATAAGAATAATTAGGAGGATAAAAATGGAGGAAGCATGAGATATTTTTATATGGTTGGCTCAATCATTTATGTGATCAGGCCTAGCTATGGCTGTAAGAAAACCTTGTTCATTAAAATTTCACTTTTTAACACATTTAATATATGAAGCTAATTTGATTTAGTTTTAAATAAATCTCCAAAATGTATAAATTGATTTTGAAATTTCATGTTTGTAATATTTTTAAGATAGTGTATTACAAAATATTGCTTTTAAGGTACGGTTTTTTTTTTTAATTTAAAGCATCATAACTTTGAGTGTTATAGAAAATGTATTAATTTTTATTTTTAAATGCAATATCATATGATTTTAATTTTTAATTTTGAGTGTTATGAATTTTAAATGCACTAGTCTAATAAATTCATAGATAAATCATTATACAATTTATTGTACATGACTGCTTACTATTTTTTTTGTAATGATATGCTATATGCATTTCTACTTAAATCTGATAACCTAATATATATGCACCTCCATTATAATTTAAATGTCATTCAATAATCAAATAATTTTATAGAAAATTCAGTATGTATCTATTTAAATCTCCAAAATGTATAAATTGATTTTGAAATTTCATATGTTCGTAATATTTTTAAGATTATGTGTTACAAAATATAGCTTTTAAGGTACGTTTTTTTTATAAATTTAAAGCATCATAATTTTGAGTGTTATAGAAAATGTATTAATTTTTAATTTTAAATATAATACAAAAAATAAAAATGAATTTAAGATTTTAATCATCATAATATATAACATTGACATTATTGGTCTTAATACCTAGATGCGAAAAGTGGGGTTCTGTTGGTGATCTACGACAATGCCACGACTCGATTTGAGACTTAAAATTAATGAAGAGGTGAATGTACGATTGAATGATGAAAATTGTTCTCTTAATTATTATATATTTATCACTAAAAATTATTATCCACAAATTAATTGAAAAAGCCATTAAAAAATTCAATCAAAATCAACTAAATAAAAAGATATATTTTTGGCTGTCGCTAATGTATTTTGTAAATATTATCTCATTTAGTATGTATTATAATCAAAAGTTTAAACCTGAAAAAATATAATTAAAAAAATATGATGAGTTAACTAAAGAAAATAAATAAGCAATCATACTTCTAAACTACAGTATGTGTGTGTGTGTACGTGTGTTGGTCTAATATATTAATATTTAAGATCATATAATAATCTAATATACATGTCCATGATATTTACTCAGTGTAAATGATCTGAAACTTTTATATGCATTTACGTTTATTTTATTCTACAAAGTTTAGTTTTAACTTTAATTTTACTTTATATTTTTAACATATATATCTGTCTGTTTGACGCCATATAAAAAAACTTAACATGCCTCTGGCTGATAGTATTATGTTGGCACAACAATTAGCGATCTAAATCACAGTTGTTTGAGATGGAAAGGCCCTTAACTGCTTCTAACCAATATTATCCAGTCGAGACAACGGTTAGTGATGTAAAAATCACAATTGTTTGGGGGTGGTAAGCTCTTTTTACTCGTCCCCAGCCGATAGTCTCTCTTCAGCACATTGGTTAGTGCTCACATCACAATTGTTTGGGTGATAAAATAACTACACTGGCGAGTACACTTGCATCCCCCGCATGTATTATAAGGAGGTGAACTTCTCTTAGCTTTCACATATAAACATTCATATTTACCTTATTTTATTTTTTCATATCAAGCATTCTTTTCTTATGCATTCATTTACTTATAAAAAAATTCACGTTTGCTAGAATCAAAATAGCATGCACTAGTCTAATAAATTTATATATAAATCATTATACAACTTGTTGTACATGATTGCTTACTAGTTTTTTTGTAATGATATGTTATATGCATTTCTACTTAAATCTAATAACCTAATATATATGCATCTCCACTAAAATTTAAATGTCATTCGATAATCAAAAAACTTTATAGAAAATTCATTGTGTATCTATTTAATATGCATATTTTTCTATTTAACGATATGAAGAATCTGCAATAATCTAAATCTCGCCGGATCAAATCATGAATGAAATCAAGCATGCATTATTAAAAGAAAAAAAATTATTTAAATTTAGAAATATAATTACTCATCTCAATCTTTAGTAGATCTCTTTATTATTTTTAATTCTCCATTTTACTGTATTATCATTATTTTACCAATCTGAATTTTGAATAACATACTTTCATCCTTCTTTATATGCTTTCAGATCAATCTCCTCCCTTGCACACAAAGTTTATTTGTTAGCCTCCCAAAACTCACCTAACCTAATTTCATATTAATATAGTAAACATATATTAAATTAATGTATAAAAAAAATTACTTAACCAACATAACACAAATTTACTTAACTCGCAACTTAGGGTTCATTAAGCTCGACTTTCTTACTTCACCCCCACAACTCTTCCTCTTCCCATGTACATGAAGCTCGTGTCAGCTTACTCCTACAAATTCAGTACTTTAATATATGTGATTAGGATATTAAATACACTTAAATCTAATATATAAATAATATCCTAATTATATATACTTATATTTT